ACCTAGCGGGGACCTAAACCTAAAGGTTTTTAGAAATATCTTGCTTGATAGTAACTATAAACGTAATAATAAGGACTGGCCAATGATATTGCAGAAAATTCAACATGGCGTCCCATGTTCAGCAATGAATTGACCAATTTTTAACGTTACGATTTGTTTTTACGTGTACTGTAATGCAAATATCAGTAAAGATCTTAACGGTGAGAAGTGTTCAATTAAATTACCGAACTTGTGACGCCATATTAAATTTTCTGGAAGTTGATGGCTTATTCCTTGTTGTTAGATTTGTAGTTACTATTAGAAGAAGTATATACCAAGGCGAAGATTCCTCTGACTACTCTTGATATTCTGTAAATTTATGAAGAGTCCGGGAAATAACTCCACGTTCACTCTTAAATGGATTTAATTTATTTATAATCACGGGCGATGCACGAAACGCCGCCATCTTGGTATTTTCATTAACTCTATTTTGCATTTTCAATCATTTGTCATTCAGCTGATCGAAAGTGGTCTCGCCGCTCGGGATCACTTTCGATCAGGTGAATGAGAAATTATTGAAAATAATTAAATTTACTCGCTCAGAGGAATAATTCTCCTTTGATAACAGATTTCAGGGAATACTCGAAAATGCGAAAGCGGATGATAAATGTATCGTGCGTGGACGGAAGAAATGATTCAGAAGACTCGAGGAGTCTTTAGGGATGCGAGAACAGCTGGACCACTCAGAAATTCCCTGACGGTCGCGTCTCCAAAAAATCCCTCACCTGCCTTCAGGAAATGTCCTCTTTGCTTTCCGGGAAATATCTTCAAGAGGTCCTCAAGAAGTCCCGGAAAGGACACCCTCGAATCCTCGCACCTGGTCCTCGAAGACCTCCATTTCAGGAATTCCTAAAAAATCAAACCCACCATTTCAATACAAAAACCGCTTAAATGCGATTATTAATTATCTATACTTAATATAAACCCTTACTTAAGGCGGCGTATCTAACCTCCAAATCTCGTCCATAACCTAAAATAATCCCGCCACGACAAGTCGCTTTGAAACGATTTAATACACTCGGGGAATACATTTTTCACTCCACATGCAAATGCGCGTCTTTTTCCACGGGGGTGGTTTAACCCTTTCGACGAGCCCCGAATAAACCTTTAATAATTCAGGGTGGTTATCGGGGGTGGAGGTCGCCCCGTTGACCTCGAGGCGGAGGTCAGATTTTCCAGGGCGATGGGTAGAAAATTCGGTCTTCTCACCCCTCGATTGTCTCGTCTTGGGGTTCGTTTACGTGACTAACGGGGTGAGGAACGTTTCCCCGGGGAGGCAAACGGTCCGTGAAATACGCCCGGGTATCGGTCTTTCTTCCTCCTTTTTACTCAGCCCACTCTCTCCCTTCACGCATTGGTTACGTGTAACAGCTAAACATAATATACAGCGCGTCTCGTAACTCCCTGGCAAACGTGACTGTTATGTCGGGCCAGTTGCGCCTTCTCGGAAAGTACGACTCCGAGTGGTCGATACTTCTCTCTCGACGAGTCGAGAGACTTTCGAGACCGAGTCTCGAGCAAAGACCGTAAGTACCGCATGAATGACTCGACCTCCGTGCCCCGCGACTCGAAAAGACCGCCGAGGTGTGAGAAAGTATCCCCAATTTCCTTCCTTCCTCTTTCATTACTCGGAACAACGGAGAAGTACCCGCGTAGCCGCTTCTCGAAATTATTATACAATTTTATTCAATTTAATTCACCGAGTAAAGGCGAATTACGACACCGATTATCCACCGTCCGACGAGGATTTATACATGATTTGTGTGAATATCTTCGAGAAAAAAGAAGCGCAAAGAAAAAAAAATAATATTTCGGAGCAGGGATTTGAACCCTCGCCCCTTCGACTAGGATCGACTTTTGGAATAGTTTGCGAGGAAGTTCAAAGTTGGGCAATTTCCCGTTTTTTCAGGTTTTTTTTACGTATATTACGTGAAGCAAGTAGTTTACCGTAAAGAATTGTAGAAAAACAGTAAATTACGTTTCCAATTTGAAGAATGATACGTGTATCCGCTAGGTTTTAAACGCCTTTTAGCGCGAGTGTAAACACGTAACAATTTTTAGGGAGTAATTAATTCGGCGTTGGCGTTCAATATTCTTTCGAATTAACACTATTTCTGATTGGATGTGTTATTTTCTATTTAGAAATAAAAGGGCGTAATGTACTTTATGCTCGCGTAGAAAATTAGGGACGTATTATAGGTTGCAATACACATGTCGAAAACCACATATATTACATGACGTATTATACCTACCAAGTGGGTGAGTTTAAAAGGGCATGGACTCGATTTTGAAAACTCGTTTAAAGGATTCCGAGTCGAAAACGCGAGTTCCCGTCTCTCCTCCCCGGATTGCGGGGAGAGGAAAAGCATAAGCACGTCGAAAGGGGAATCGCCATTAGCGGTGCGCATTCCAGAAAGGCCAAGGCGCACTCAAGGCATCCGACCGACGCAGAACTAATGATCTTAATTAACGTTTCGTAACGAAGGTCGCCGCTCGAAGTGTTGCCCTTCTTCCTTCATTTCTTCCCGGGGTTCTTGCGGGGCCGGGCATAATCATCCCGAGGCGGAATCCGCGCCAAACCACGCGGGACCATGCGGAACCGCGCGGAACCGTGCGGAACCGCACGGAACCACACGGACCACGGTCAACCCTCCTCATATAATGGACCGGACTTTAATTATCGTAATGGCGTCGGCTCGTTTGCTGGGTGCATTCTGCGGGGCCCTAAGGCCCCTCCGGACGCTGGGCGAAGATTTCTAGAGAAAGCGACCGCGGAAGGATTTGACCTAAGGTCAAAGGGAAGGCTCTCGAATTAATGGGAACAAGCTGATCAGGCTTTGGTCAATCTGGGCCCTCGCAGGGTTCGTCTAGCGGGGCCTTAAGGCCCCGTCGCGTCGCGCCAATTTCAAGAAAAAGCGATCAAGAAAGGATTTGACCCGGGGTCAAAGGCTCTTGAATTAATGAGAAGAAACTGATCACCAGAGCAGCTGATCAGGCTTTGATCAATCTGAGCTCTCGCAGGATTTGTCTAGCGGGGCCCTAAGGCCCCGACGCTCCATTTCAAGGAAAAGCGACCACAGAAGAGTTTAACCCGGGATCAAAGACAAGGCTTGCGGATTACTTAGAAGTGGCCCATCAACCGATCAGCTGATCGGCTAATAAATATAAATAGCTGATAGATATTGGTCAATCGGAAGTTCTGAAGGGTTCGCCATCCCAGTAGGGCCCGGAACTCTTCCCAGTGACCCGGAAGATGCCGAATAGCGAATTCTCCGCGCTTTTCTCCTAATTTATAAAGGACCCAGAACAAACACCGGATGAATACGCTGATAGATATCGATAGCTGACAGATATTGGTCAATCGGAAATTCTGAAGGGTTCGCCATCCCAGTAGGGCCCGGAACTCTTCCCAGTGACCCGGAAGATGCCGAATAGCGAATTCTCCGCGCTTTTCTCCTAATTTATAAGGGAGCCAGAACAAATACCGGATGAATACGCTGATAGATATAGATAGCTGACAGATATTGGTCAATCGGAAGTTTTGAAGGGTTCGCCATCCCAGTAGGGCCCGGAACTCTCCCATGGAACCCGGAAGATGCCAAACAGCGAATTCTCTGCGCTTTTCTCCTAATTTATAAGGGAGCCAGAACAAATACCGGATGAATACCCTGATAGATATAGATAGCTGACAGATATTGGTCAATCGGAAGTTCTGAAGGGTTCGCCATCCCAGTAGGGCCCGGAACTCTCCCCAGGGACTCGGGAGTCGCCGAGGAGCGAATTCTCCGCGCTTTTCTCCTAATTTACGAGGGAGCCAGAATAAATACGGGATCAAGACGCGGGCGATAAATCGCGCGCGTTTAGATCGGATTCTTAGGGTCCTCCTAAGACATAACATCTCGGTCCAGGTTAGCGCTCGTGAATCGCTTAATCTCGCCAGAGGGCTTCCTGCTCCCCGATTTCCCCCGTTTCCTCCACTTTCTCCATTTTCTCCATTTTGGCTCATCGGCTTGAGATATCGCCAGGCTAAATAACCGGCAACTTAGCGGCCGTCGCGCCGCTGGATTTGTGGCCTTCCGTAAATTATACCGAGAGGTCTCCCTGTCTCCTTCCTTTTGCCCGACACGTATATCCGTCTCTCTCCCTCTATTTCCTCTTTTCCCGCTCCCTCGACTCGCGAAAATGTATCCTCTTCTCTTAGCTTCCCATCCCCTCGGTGGGCCGTTCTGGGGCGATGTTTCATTTAATTATACACGAAGGACGGAAGTCGAAGTCAAGGTAGCCAGGATTCCGATCCCGCCCTACAAATTGGGCATTAATAATCTGACAATTTAATTTTCACATTTTTTAACCGATGCCTCTGATAGCACGCTAGTACGCGTAAGATCGCGAACGAAACGAAGATAACCCTTTTCGGAAAGTGAAACGCTTATTTCTTTTACTGTTAACTACTATTTGCATTCATGTTTGTAGCTTAGTGTTGGCGCCATTTCTGTAAATTTCTATTTCCATTTATAATTCCCTTTAACGGGATGTGAAAGTGCCATCCGAGGGGTCAATCGTTCACGATACTGTTCTACAAACTGAGTGTACCGAATCGTTTCAAACTTTACAACGTGAACATGGAGGCTGAAAGGCAGCTCTTGACGTAAATGAAATTTCATTGTTTATCAAAGAAATTTTGAAAATATCTATGAAAGATTTTTTTTCTTCCATTAAAATTTTATGGGTGTCAGGATCTCCCTTATAGCCTTTATATTAACATTGACAAATTTGAAACGATTCGATGCACCCTTTGCGGGGAAAAGTTTCATAAGCGAGAGCTCTTTAACGCCACTTTCACATCACCTTGACTTAAAAGTTTCTATTTCTTTTCTTTTTTTTTTTCACTGGGTTGGTTGGTCACGTGGTTGGTCAATTTTATTAAATAAACGATGAAGGAACGTACCCTCGAGTTTCAGGGCCGTCGGCAGTCAGGTGGTGATGGATCCGATGCTGGTCTGCAAGAAGACGCGTCGTCTGAAAGGGAAGCTGTCCGACATTTGCCGGAAGGAGCCGGCCTTGCTGAAGGAAATCTCCAGGGGGGTTCAGGCGGGCACGAGGGAGTGCCAATACCAGTTCAGGAATCGCCGATGGAATTGCACAAATGCCAGGAGGTCCCTGAAGAAGATCCTTCTTCGCGGTAAGGCCTCTTTAACTGAAAGACGTCATAATTTTGGGCATCTCCATCTCCCAGCGAAGATTTCTTCGCCCTTCATGTAATTTCTGATTGAACGCTCGAGCATCAACACCGGGTGCAGGGTTGATGAATGAATTCGGGGAGGGGCGAATAGGGCCCAAAGATTTGGGTCCCCTCGAGACTCGAGAAAGAGTCCCCGGGGGAGGATCGGGCCCAGAAGTCCGAAATCGGGCACGGGAACTCCCAGTCGGTTAGGTTTCCGCCGAAGGTTGATGCCTCGGGGGAGGGGGTGGGCCCAAAACGCCTCTCCGTGATTGAAAGGGGCCCAAACCCCTGGGCCGGTGTATTCTGGAGGACAATACACGCATTCGCGGCAGATTACAGGGCGCTTCCAGCTCGGCATTAGGACCGGATGTCGATTACACACTCTGCGCGGAGTCGCCCCACGGGGCCTTAGGGCCCATTCGTTCGGATTAAACGTTCGGGCCCGGGAGAGTTGCATTCAACCCCGACGACCTCGTAGGTTCGCGATTTCCCCGGAGGAACCGCAGGCTTTTTTCTTCCTCCCTCATTAGGGTCCCCGGCCGTAAATTAGATTTCACGAGTGCGCCCCTCCGCGCCCGCGACCGGGCCCCGGGAAACGTCGGGACCCGATCGGCTGGGCTGCGATCATCCTAGCTGGCTTTATCTCGGCATTTAAGTGGCGGGAGGAATAAATTTTAATTTAGCCTCGGAATTCCTCCTAATTCCACGGGCCCAAGGGGTCCGACGTGGCCCGACGCGACGTCCGATCGAGTGGTCTCGTCTACCGTGCGGGTTATGGCCGTCCGGGTTAATTCCGGACGATCGGACGCGACAACTAAATCGAAGACACGGCTCGCCTCCGATGGGGCCCGAGATGAGGCCCCGACCGATCTTACGGCTCGGTGGACCCTTTGGTAGCTCGACAGATTGACACTGTCCGTGGGATATTAGTGGCAATATGTTCCCTTAATTAAAGTCCTCTTCCTTCGCCGATCGGATCTTCTCCTCTTTGATTCGGGTGCACTCGGGGCCTGAGGCCCTTCCAAAGGGACCGACCCACCCGATTCGCGAAGAAGGAAATCGACGAATAATGTCGAGCTAATGAGGGATTTACAGAACGGGAGGATACTACCCAGAGACCATCGATCTCTACACTTCGTGGGCCTTTCACCATACTACGGATCAGGTTGCAGAAAAAAGTGGGCCCAATTTCGTACAATTGTCTCGAGTCGATTATCTATTCCAGTTACAACGTGAACATAGTTTTCGTGTGAACGTTGATCCAGCTAGTACGCTGCATCCCGATTGCGGCAAGAGCGCTTTTGGGACTTAAGGCCCCTTCAACGGGCTCATCGATTTTCACTGAGGAGACAACGGAAATATAATTCCATTGTATAGAGATCCTCGAGGGGAGGGGAGCGACTCGTGGGCCAGTCGGTAGCCACACGCCACGGGGTCGCCCGCCATGGGGTCATACGACGTGAAAATGGGCCCGACGCCGAATTACGGCCAATTTGGAAGAGCCAAGCGAAGAGAGGGATCTCCGGTGAAATACGACCCTGTCGAGGACCCGCTCGAAGATGACCCAGGTTTTCTCTTTCTCGCTCCCTTCCGTTCCTCTCTTTCTCTCTCCCTTTTTTCCGGGGCCTTACGTACGACACCGCAGACATCCCACGGGGACTTCAATGGCGCTCCACCTGGCACCCACGGCCTTCGGCCCGCTCTCCACGGACGCCATAAACACGACAATGTCCGATTATGCTTCATTGGAAGATCGTAAAGTCCCAGTGGGTGTACCTTGCGCGCGCACCGCCATAAATAATCGCGGCCGCTCTGGGAAGGGGGATGGGAGGGGATAAGGCCCCGGCCGGGCCCCACGGGGCCCGAAAGTCCGAGCCCGTTGCGTGCCGCGATGCGCAATACCGAACGTTTGCAACTTCATTTAATCCCCCCATATTTTATTCTGGGCCCTTTTTGCCGCGGCAAGTGTCCACACTCGGCGAAGGAACAATCGCCGACGGACCCAAAATACTAACGGATTGTTCGTGAAATAGTGTGGGCCCTACTTGCTTAGAGGGCCCGTGATATTTCACCAGATCGTGTTGAAGTTTTGCTTTCGTCACGATTTACGCTGCACCTAGCGGGGACTTATTACAGTAATTAACTAACGTAAGTCCCAAAACGTAGTGGTAAAGGTTTAGAGGGGCACGTCGACACGAAATCAAGAATCGTGAGTTGAGTGGATGGTCGTTTCGGACTTAAGACTCAACCGGTCGTCGAACGGTGACGACGGCCTCCTGGATTTTCGGTGACCAGGTCGCCCACGGTGGGCGAGGACAGCTCGCCGTGGGAAGCCTCCAAGAAATATATGACTTTTCGGGGCCCACCCGGTGCCTCTTCGGACGCGGCCCCGTAGCCCCACGGGCCCCGGTACGGGGCCCGACACGAGTCCAGGATAGAGAGAGAATTCCAAGATTGAGAACGGCTCGGTGGAAATCGACGTATGCCAACAAGAAGAAACGGTTCCGAGGTAACGGGACCCAAATACGAGATTCCGGGAGAATGCAATTTGGGACCTATCGGCAATCATCTCTTTCACTTCCCTCCACCGAATCGCCAAATCGCGACGTTTAACATCCCAGAAATACACAGAAAATAATTCATTAATAAGGAAAATTATGGAAATTGGGCCCTTCGAATTAGCGGTTATCGATTGTATGTAAGCGGTCTTCTCGTCCGAGTGGATTCACTGGAAGGCCCAATTTCAAAGTCTCAAGAGAAATAGGGGTGGGGCCCAAACTGCTCCTTAAGAAGCAGCAGGACATGGGAGTCACTTTCGGGGATCTTAATTGACACGCATCCTCGATGCGTGAACGCAATGAAAGTGCATTAAGGTGGGCCCTATCGGATCCTTTCATCTGGGCCTTGGTCCGCGAGGTCGGCCAGAATTTTGGAAAGATTCCTGGGCCCCTCGGCTACCGGAGTGACGACGCCTATCTTAATTCCCGATTGACGTTTATTTATCTGGCGGCGCTTCATTTTTATGGGCCCGATCCGCCGATAGGGCCCAGGTAGTCCTGCCGCTGTGTGGTCCTGGAGGTAGCTGGGGACAGGTCGGAATAGAACAGCCCCGGGGACCTAACCGCGGTGGTCAGCATCCCTTAATTGAGGGATGCCGCGTGTCCGGATGAACCCGAACACGGGCGCTAAACCTCCGAGTGCTACCAACAGGCCCCAAATGTCCCGTTACGATTTATCGAGATGGGCCTCCTTCCCTGTCTTCCAGAAAATGGGACCTATCCTCGTAACTCAGAAAACCCGACACTGCGCAATAAGAGACGTCTAATTCCTTTCCCTGTTCCCCAATCCTTCATGACTAATACCATCCCTTATCATTAGGCCTTACCCAAGATGGCGTCAGGCCCCACGATGCTGCGTCCCTCAAAAATCGAGAAACTTCCCCCAACTCGAAAAAAGATAGGTTTTTCCTACCTCATGGTCCAACCTCTTCAGATCTCGCGTTTCGAGAATTCCGAGTCCGCAGCTGGCCCAAATCGCGGGCCCGGGCCCCGAAGTGAGTCGTTGGTGAGTTCCTCTCGCCGATTGGACGAGGTCGCAAGTCCCGGGAACCTCGTGGAAATAAAGAGGACAGTTTACGCGTAATAAAAAAGGTCCCAAGACGTTCGAGGCGCGCCGGTGGTCCCCGAGGACGGACCCCTCGAGGCCCCCTGGGCCCGCCCGGGCCTCCTTAGGGACCTTCCTCGTCGCGCGCGACTCTGGGCCTTATCTGTAATGGAGCAGCCGGAGTTAAATAAAATCGCCACTAAATCGGGGCTAATTATTTGGCAGTTAAACGCGGCGGGAATCCGGCGGCTCGTAAACGCCCGCTCCCCGAAGATCTCACTCGGGGCCCGAAGTCCCCCCGGTCTTCCCCCAGGAATCCGCCAATAAACTCCGCGTCTTAGGACCTCGCTAGAACCCTCGGTGAGGCCCTCGATGAGGCCCTCGCCTCGAGGTACCGCGTTTTAAGCGCTGCAACCGAGGTGCGCGTTTCGCCGCGGGACCGGAACGCCTGAAACGAAATGAACAACGAAAACGGAATTTTCATACGATATTGCATCTTATACACGGATACACACACATACACAACCCTGGAAATTATTAATATCCAGTAGAGGTCAAAGTACCGCAGGAATCCTCCCTGGAATGCGACTAATAAACCCGGTCTGTCACCAGGGGTATCCCGGCCGCCATCTTGGTCTCCGCGCTGAACTCAACTTTCCGTCGCAAAAGTCCAAAAAAAGTGCCGTATTTCCAGTGAAATGCAAAGAGACGGAACTATTAATATTCAAGGCAACGGCGGCTAACTAGATGCCTATCTAAATTCCGCTCTGAGATATGCAATCTATCGATATCGCGAAACGTTGATCCAAGATACGTGAGTCGCGGGATCCAAGATGGCCGCCGTGTCCAAGATGGCTTGCGGTGAAAATCGGAGCGAGACGTGGAGATTGTGGGACTCCCTGGGGTTTCTAGGAGCACTGCTGGGGAAAATGGGCATTTTTATTACTTCTCGCCTATTTTCTTCAGAGATTCGAATCGTAAAGTCCCCTCGGAACGACGCGGTGGTCGATTTCCTCGCGGGACTCCGCCAGGGATCCTCTTAACAGGTGACGAGTGATAATGAGAGGGCCAAGACACGTTTAGCGCGGTCGTGCTAAGTGTTTGCCGTCTCTCGGGTAGCACCGTGCTAACTAATATACGCATCCTACCTGCACTTCGCCTCGGATTCCCGTTTAATGCTTCTATCTCCTATCATTTATTTTCGCCGATCCTTGCTCGCTGATACTAGCGAGAGATCTAGAGGAGAAGAAAAGAACTAAAGAAACAGGGAAAAATATGTGAAACGGGTACCTTTTCAGGTGGTAATCTTCAAGACCGATCTTCCATCTCCCCTGAATATCTGCGATCGTTGATAC